TACTACTACTACTACTACTACTACTACTACTACTACTGCTACTACTACTACTACTACTACTACTACTACTACTACTACTACTACTACTACTACTATTACGAATCGTTCCGTTACAGGCCCTAGGAAGGCCCCCAAAAAGGCCCAGGGCGCCCGGAGGCCACAGAGTCCACGAATCGATACCGGATTCAAAGAAACTCCGATCGTTCCGTCCCAGGCCCCTGGAGGGCCCAGCGGCGCCCTGAGGTCAGAAAGTCAAGGAATCGATACCGGTTACAAATCAACTGCATCCCAAACTCCCCCTCCTCGTCCTCCTCGTCCTCCTCGTCCTCCTCCCCCCCCTGTCCTCCTCCTCCTCTTCCTCCTCCTTCTCCTCCGCAGTACGCCTGTAAGCACCGCGGCGTTCCCGCGAGCGCAACATTATATGCCTGTGGGCATCACAATAGCGCGAAGCGCGCGGGCGCGCCTGTGGGGGCCCCACAACAACCTGCGCGCACGATGTGCCCCTACGAGCCACAGGCGTATGCCTGCGCACACTGCAAACACGCTGTCGTCGCACTACGAGCAGCATACGTAACTATACGCTACACATCAGGCACTGCTGCGACGAGGGTGGGTGGGGCGGCGGCCGTTATGTCATGTACTGGGTGGGTGGGTTAGAGGCCACATAACGCGCATTATGTGTTTGAGTTAAAAAACTTGAGCTCCTGCGCGCAGCAGATTCAGTACCCCCCCCCCTTCCTCAGATCCCCCCCTTCCGTTCGGCCCGGCCCTCCCACGGACTGAGGCCACTGCGTAGCCATCCGCCCCTGGAGCGAGCACGGCGCCTCCGCCTCCCCCCTCGCGCACCCTCCTCGCCCTCTTGTGCGTCGTGGGGGCAGCCGCCGCGTCCGCAGGTGGTCGCGCCGCCAGCCCACCGAGCCCAGGAGGGGAGGCTGCCCCTGGGCACCTCGCGACACGCGTGGATCCCACGGGGCCCCGGGGGTGCTCTGGGAGGCCAGCTGGAGCCTGGGGCCCGGACCGCCTCTGGTATGCCACCCCTGATCTGCAGAGCGGCGGCGAGCGAGGGGGGCGGGGCGTGAGGAGGAGAAGGCCTTCTCAGAAGGCAGCGGGGCTTCTGAGAAGGCCCCTGGCCTTCTGAGAGGTTGTCTGCTTCCTCGGGGAAGGTTTTAAGCGCTTCTCAGAAGGCCGCGGGACTCCCGAGCCTTCTGAGAAGGCCGTCTCCTTCGCGCCTCCCCCCAAGGCTCGCCGCCGAGCAGAGCGGCCCACCTTCCGCGCGGAGGGGAAGTAGCAGTCAGCATCTCGCTTCTGGGAGGAAGCGACCGGGAACTAGGGTTCCCGCACGCAGCTGCGGATACGAACGAGGGGGGAAGAGAGGGAGGAAGGGAGGGGGGCAACTGCTCCCAGTCGCCGAGCGGCTCGAAGCCGCGCAGCTCATCACTGCACGTCCCACTCCTGGATGACAGAGCCATGATGCTCCCCAATGTGCTGCAAGGCTACCAAACGTCTCGCTGTGTTCCGCCGTGGTTCGTAGTACTGCTCACAGTCGCGCCGCTCGCAACACTGCTCGTCCATCTTCTGGATGCCAGTCGTGCTGCTGCCATGGAATGCTGAAACAACCGTAACTCATGCAAGTCTATGTCCGCTTGGCTGTCCGGCACCGTGGTCGAACGTGCGCTGTACCAAATTGTAGTTATCCGAACATCATACCCAGATCAAGCTGTCATCGACTCGGGCTTGACAACCCTGGAGATATGATGACGTTGTAGGCTGTAGTATATTGCCGAGCCGTGGGCTGGGTAAGACTCAGCCCCTCAACAACACCACTCTGGTCTTAATTCGGCGTATCATGTGCTAGCGCAGATGTCGTAGCTCGTCAACACGCCGGGATCACCACGACCGTGAGAGCAACTCCAGGAGGCACAGGCGAACGAAAGTTGCTGCTGACCCTACTCCCCTGCCCAGCTGCGAAGACGGCCTCCGGACGCCCACCAGACATGAGACCGCTACGCCAGCAGCCCGAGGGCCAACGAGAAGCCCGCCGCCGCGAGGAAGACGGCGTGGTGGTCGAGCGGGAACGGGAGACCCGACGTGGAAGACCAGGCGTACGCCAGCGCCCCCAGGGGCGGCCCCACCACCTGCACCGCCGAGCCGACGGCCATGCGCAGGCTCTGAGCGGCGGCGGTTGCGCCCGGGGACGCCTCGTTCAGGAGAGCGATGCTGCGAGGCGGGGATCTGTCCATATCCACTGCCCGGGAGCCGCGGTCCTGGGGACCTCCACGATGTATATTTGGCCCCCCCCAGAGCCAAAATAGACCCATGTCCACCGCCCATGGAGGTCCGCGAAGGTCCGTCCCCCAGGCGGTGGTGACGGACACATCTGCGCCTCGGATATGTCGGCTGCACGCAAGAGTGACCCTGGGCAAGAGTGACCTTTGGTGCGCGGCTTTTTGGGGGCCGTGGGGGGACCAAACACAACCGCACAAGACGCTACTATCGGGGAGACGTAGACTCGGGTACGGAGGACTCGGGTTGGCCTGACGGGGCCATCATGAAAATGACGAGACCCGATCTGAAATTTGCCGCGAGCTCCCGCTGCAAACATCCCACGAAAACTGGACCGACAAAATCCAGGTCGCGCTCGTCAAAAAACTTCGGCAAACCCGAGTTCTGGCTTACTCGAGTCTTACGTTTCCCCCTATACTATTGCATCGCGTTCGGCGATCGGCGGCCCCCCTGGGCCCGCACCAAAGGTCGCTCCGGCGAGGGGTCACTCTCACGCGCAGCCGAAGCTGTTGCACACGAAGAACACGAACGCTATGGACGTGCGGGCGCCGCAGAGGACGCCCAGCAGGGCCACCCGGGCCCACAGGGGCGCGCCCGGCAGGCCGAGGCACGGCAGGGCGGCCAGGGGGGCGGCGAGCAGCAGCAGCGCCCGCCGCCGCAGGCGGCGCAGCGCCGCGGAGCTGCTGGACTGCACCAGCCGCAGCAGCAGCGTGCCCTGCAGCAACAGGTCCCCGACGCCGGCGACCAGGTACACGGCCCCGACCGCGGGCGCGCTGATGCCCAGCGCGCCGACGCCGTACAGCACGAAGGCCTCGTGGGCGCGGATGAGAGGGGGGACGGTACGTGGGGGGGGGGGGAAGGGCCCCTTTTCGGCAGCTCTCGCTGCCCCCCCATTCCGGCAAGTCCGCGTCGTGTCGACCCTGGCGTTGGTCCCTGACACCGCGTGGGTCGTTCAACCTTGAAGGATCGGCAGCTTTTCCATCGCCCGATCCTTCCATGCAGGCCGACTCTGGGCCACTGCCGGCGTGCAACTCTGAACGTCCGCGGCGGGGTCGCCGCCGGTCGATACGACGCGAGCCTACCGCATCGCCCCCCCCCTTGCTTGCGCAGGGACCGACCGCCCCGGCATTCCTAGAGTCCTGCCACGAAGTGTTCGTAGAACCCAACAATGTTCGAAGAACAAGAACAATGTTCTTAGAACGTGAAACCGATGTGTTAAAACAAAGCAATCTCAATCAGACATGTCCTAAGAGCATCTCGGGGAAACCACTCAAAAGGTCCTTAGAACATTGTTTGGTGGGGCTATAGGCGAGCCGGGACGCTTCGCCGCTGCTTGCCTTGCGCGCCCTCCGGGCCTCCTCCATGGCGACGGAGACGAGGACCGCGCCCGCGCTCAGGAGCTGCGCGCGCAGCGCGTCGCGCTGCCGGCCCGCGCCTCCGACGGGGCTCGGGTGCCCCGTCCCTGCCAGCAGGGCCTCCGCCGCCTGGCCGGGCGGCCGGTGCGGGGGCACCGCGGCCGCGGCGGCGAACTGCAGGAGGCCCAGCACGGCGCAGGGCGCCGCGAAGGGGTGGCCCTCGAGCCACGCCCCGGGCCGCAGCTGGAGGAGGAGCCCCGCCAGCCCCGGCCCGGCGAGCTTCCCGAGGGAGAAGCCGGTCTCCACGATGGCCGATCCCCGGTGGCCCGAGACCTCGTGGCCAAGGGCGATGCAGTTGGAGTGCACTGCGCTGCAGGCGCCCGTCAGCAGCCGCGCTGCGGAGACTGCCTGCAGCGAGCCGGCAACGCCGCAGAGCAGCGTGCCGCAGCCAGTGAGGAGCAGGGACAAGGAGATCACCCTGCAATGGCCGTGCTTGTCCGAGAACCGGCCCCAGGTGGGCAGCGCGATCGTGCGTGCCAAGAAGAAGGCGCTGACTATGAATCCAGACCAGAAGCCAAGCGCCTGGCGGTCGCTGGTGACGCCGAACTCGAGCACCATGAAGGGCGCCAGCGTGTACATGAAAGTTATAATCATACAATTCGTGGCCGTTATGCAGCACAGCCGCCATGCTGGATCCATGGCCTTGCGTAGCGTTCCTCCCCGAACGCTCTTTGAGTACTGCCTGCCGGCCGAGCGAGGGAGCGCAGCAACAAGCCAACCGCACTGAAGCGCACGTGCCTTGAGCCAACGCTGGCCGCCTCTGGCAACACGCCAGAAGAGACGGAGGCGGGAGAGGCGGACGGCGCAGTCGGACGCGCGCGCGCACGAGCCCCGGCAAGCTCGAGGAAGGCGTCCCCCGAAGAACAAAGCAGCGGCACCGACCATGGCGAAATGATGCCGCTTTGAGCGACTCCCTCCCGAGAACGCGAGGCTTCAGTCGGGCGTGTCCCCCTACAGGGAAACCTTCGACGAAACATAAGGAGTACACAAAAGAGTCCCCCGAATGGTAAAAAAAATACTCGAAAATAGTCCCCGGAGTATTTGTGACTAGTTTTGAGCATTCCCCCTGTAGAGGGGCGAGCCCGACTTCACGCGAGGCGGGCTTCCCAGGGAGCACCGAGCCCCTCGGGGCCCGGCGGCCGCGGCATGCACGCGTCGTTCGTCGAGGGCGCGGTGGTGGGGCACCCCGGGAGCGCCCTGGCCCTTGGTGCCTGGCGGCCGGGGGGTGCCGAGTGTACATGAAGGGGCCCCAAGACACACAAATAAATACACACAAATAAAAATGTTGCCCATATTTTCCCATATTTTCTGGGTTTTTGTCTTCCCCCCCACTTCCCATATTTTCCCATATTTTCTGGGGAGTCGACGATTAATTGTGTCTGTGTGTTTCTTTCCCTCCTGAGTACAGTCGAGGCGTTGACCTAAGGAGCCCTAAATAAGGAACGAGGCCCCTATTTTCCACAGGGAGGGCAGAAAATCCCCCCCGATAGTAACCCTTCCGACACGCGACGCCGTCTAGTAGGGGGCAAACAAACCTGCCTCGCTTTTGACCACCCTCGCTTCCAGGAGATACCCAGCGATGCCAAGCTACGGCCGGTACTGGTCAGGCTGCTTGACGAGGAGGCGCGTGGTATGACTTGGTTTTGCCTGAAAGCGAAAGCGGGGTAGGTAATTCACGCTCTGATTTAGTAAACGCACCCAAAGAAGGAATCAAACAGGGCGAGGCGTTTAGTAAACGCCCAGGGCGTTGAATAAACGCCAACTGTCAGGTCTGGGTGGTTTCTCCTCCCTTGAGTGTCTTCCTACAGGCGGATTTTGGGAGCAACGCGAAGCACAGTCAAAACTGCTCGCCTTGCAAGGGTCGGCTACACGCAGGAGCGACCCCGGGCAAGAGAGTGACCTTTGGTTCGGGACTTTCGGGGGCCGCTGGGAGGCCAGACCCTAGCGCGCAAGACGCTGCTGCCGCATCGCGTTCAGTCGGCTGGGGACCCCAATGTGCCCGCACCAAAAGGTCCTCTGGTGAAAGGTCAGTCCTCCGTGTAGCCGACCCTTCTCTGGGACCGGCTTCTCGTCCCAGTTCGCTTCTTGACGGCCCCGAGGCCCGGTGAGGGCCCCCAGAATCGGGGCGAGTCCAGGGGGGACGTGAGAAGGCAAAGGCCTCCTCAAAAGGCTCGGAAGCCCCCCGGCAATCTGAGACGTTTCTTACGTCCTCCCCGCAGATACACAACAACTTCTCAGAAGGCTGGAGGGCTTCTGAGAAGTCCCGTCGCCTCGGCGGTGGACAAACCTCCCTTTAGTACACCTCCCCTCAATGAAAACGGCCTTTGGACCGAAACCGACGGACCTGGACCCGCAAAAATGACGGCCGCGACGCCATCTCGCGAACCGAAAACGGCCAATTCCTTAATCGACGTGTCAGGGTAGGAGGTCTGTCCACCCCCGATCGCCTCCTGAGAAGGCCTTCTCCTTCTCGCTCCCCCACCTCGCTGGCCGCCGACAGAGAGGTCGCTCCGGCGAAAGGTCACTCTCACGTGCAGAGACGGAGCTCGACCACAAGAAACCTTTCACAGGAAAGCCAACCCTGAGACCCCAGGACGAACACCATCGAACCCCCAAAAAGCCCAGGGCACCCTGCAGGTAGGCAGGGTGTCTCTTGGCGTGGTTTTCAGAGACCTCCTAGATGGGATCCGAGTAGATGGAGTCGGAAGGTATCGCCGCATTGCCGATACATTGGCGATGCATAGGCGATGCACCGTCGACGTGGGTGATGCATTGGCCACGTCGGCGTGGAGGAAATCGGGCTCCACATCGAGCCGCATCGCCGATGCCTCGTCGATGCGGCGCGATCCTACAACCCCATCTGCTCCAACCCCATCCAGGAGGCCTGACCGAAGGAACGATACACAAGGAACGAAGCCCATGTTTTTCCCAACCCTGTCCCTGGAGTCTGCAGGAACGCCAAAGGGGGCTCGCCACCAAAAAAGGAAACGGAAACGCATGCAAACCCAAGGCACGGCCGAGCCCCCTTCGAGAAACAACTGGACTTATGTTGTTCCCATCGTACTTCAGGACCACATCCCAGAAATAATTTCGAGCACCAGGAAGAGTGTCGAAACAGTGTCGAGCGAGTGTCTCTCAGTGCCCGACACGTGAAAACCCTCAAATTTCGGTATTTCCCTGGTGCTCGCAATTCTTTCTGGTGGTCCAGACTAAAGTAGGTTGGAACCTCCCCGGACCCCCGACGTTGTGATTTTTTCATGACGTCGACCCCCAGAAGTCTGAACCCCTCCCCCAGGACCAGTTCTTCATCCCGAGTCGTTTTTGGACGGTCCCGAGGCCAGGCGTGGCCCCCCAGAGGCCGAAACTAGCGAAAACCCGTCCGTCCTGATAATTTCTCTGCCCAAGGGGTTGAACAGGGACCGTTCGCCCCGGCATTCCTATAGTCCTACCACGAAGTGTTCTCAGAACCCAACAATGTTCTAGGGACCAAAACAAGGCGCTCAGAACATAAACCCGACGTGTCAAACCAAGATAGCCCCAGCTAGAACTGTTCTGAGAACATTCCGTGCACTTCGTGCACACCACAAAAGGTCCTTAGAACATTGCTTGGTGGGGCTATAGGCGAGCCGGGACGCCCCGCCACTGCTTGAGGGGGGTCTCCCCCTCCTCCTCCTCCTCCTCCTCCTCCTCCTCCTCCT